GGCTATTGGCCGAGCCTCTCTTTCCACATTATCTTTCATCTTCAAGGAAGCTAGTTTAGGCTTGTTCACATGGGTACAGCACCATTGCAGGAATGACAGTGGAAGCCGCAAGATCTCGTAATGCTCAAACTCAAACATAATGTTACTTCTACTGCAAACTATAGGTCAAAGCAAGTTATAAGGCTAGCCCAGATTCAAAGAGAGAGGAAACAGATTCTACTTCTTAATAGGAGGAAAAGCAAAACTATGTAGCAAAGGGAGCAAATATGCAGGGATGGGAGAAGTTGTGGTCCTCTTTGTAGTCAACCTGCTGCTGAGACCCTGATGCTCATGCAGTCCTCTCATTCTTTTTTTTTTTTTTCTTTTGACACAGGGTTTTACTCTGCCCTCTAGGCCAGAGTGCCCTGGCATGAACATGACTTTTTGCAGCCTTGATCTTCTAGGCTCAAGAAGTCCCCCCATCTCATTTGCCCCCAAGTATCTCGGACTACAGGTGCAAGCCACTACACCTGGCTAATTTTTGTATTTTTTGTAGAGATGGAGTTTTGCCATGTTGGCCAGGATGTTCTTGAACTCCCAGGCTCAAGTAATCCACCTGCCTCAGCCTTCTAAAGTGCCAGGATTACCAGTGTGAGCCACCACACCTGTCCAGTCCTATCATTCTTGAAATGAGGAGACTGATACATAAATAAGTTAAATACCTTAGTCAAGTTCATAGAGTTAGTGGCACATCCAGAATGGGAACCTATGCTTCCTGCTTGTCAGTCTAATGTTTTCACACCTTAAAGGAACTTTTCTACCTGAAGCCTTTCTTCTGTACCCAAACCTAGTGACAGAGCCAGTCTTTTGAGCCACTCCACTTCTCAGAGCCATTCTTTAGATTAGCTGGCTGATACAGATTTAGGAACAGAATACCAAAGCCCTATTTCCAAGGCTGGCCACAGCTGCCTTAGTTCTATGAATCTCCCTCATAGGAAAGGAGATTTCATTTCATCTTCTGGCCCCTTGGGAGTCTATTAGGCTCCCAGGCCATAGCTAGAAAGGACAGCCAAATGTCCTTTTGCTTTCAAAAGCCATTTCATAAAATAGTGCTTTGTATATGAAGAAATGTTCAATATCACTAATCATCAGAGAAATGCAAATCAAAACTATGATGAGATACCATGACACCCCTGTTAAAATGGCTTTTGTTGGCCAGTCATGCTGGCTCATGCCTGTGATCCCAACACTTTGGAAGGTTGAGGCAGGAGGATCCCTTGAGCTCAGGAGTTGGAGACCAGCCTGGGCAACATGGTGAGACTCTGTTTCTACAAAAAAATAAAGAATTAGCCAGGCATGGTGGAGGGGAAAAGAAACTTACACTACATGTCTGTAGTCCCATCTACTTGGGAGGCTGAGGTGGGAGGATCACTTGAGCCAAGGAGGTCAAGATCAGCTTGAGCAAACATGGTAAGACCACATCTCTACAAAAAATTTAAAAAAATAAAATTAAAAAATGGCTTCTATCAAAAACCCAGGCAATAATGGATGTTGGTGAGGATGTGGAAAAAGGGGGCCGCTTATATACTGCTGGTGGAAATTTAAATTATTAGTACAGTTATTATGGAGAACTGAATGGAGATTCCTCAAAAAAACTAAAAATAGAACTATCATATGATCCAGCACTTCCACTACTGGGTATATATATCTAAAAGAAAGGAAATCAATATATGAAGAGATCTATGCACTCTTGTGTTTATTGCAGCACTATTCACAATAGCCAAAATAGGGAATCAACCTAAGTGCTCGCCAGCAGATGAATGTATAAAGAAAGTGTGGGCTGGGTGCGGTGGCTCATGCCTGTAATCCCTGCACTTTGGGAGGCCAAGATGGGCGGATCGCCTGAAGTCAGCAGATCGAGACCAGCCTGACCAACATGGTGGAACCTCATCTCTACTAAAAATACAAAAAGTAGCCGGACGTGGTTGTGGGTGCCTGTAATCTCAGCTACAGAGAATCACCTGAACCGGAGGCGGAGGTTGCAGTGAGCCGAGATGGTGCCACTGCACTCTAGCCTGGGCAACAGAGTGAGACTCTGTCCACCACCCCCACCAAAAAAAAAAAAAGAAAGAAAAGAAAATGTAATACATATACATATTGGAATATTATTCTGCTATAAAAAAGAATGAAATCCTGTCATTTGCAGCAACACAGATGGACTGGAGGTCACTGCATTAAGTGAAATAAGCCAAGCACAGAAAGACAAATATCACACTTTTTAGTGTGGGAGCTAAAAAAGCAAATCTCATGAAAACAGAGAGTAGATTGGTGGTTACTGGAGGCCAGGAAGGGCTGGGTGAGGGGAGATGAAGAGAAGTTCATTAATGGATACAACTGTATGATTTATAGTATTAGATATTAATGGATCAGTAGGGTAACTATAGTTTCTAATAATCTATTGTATATTTCAAAATAGCTAGAAAAGGGCTGGGCACAGTGGCTCTCGCCTGTACTTCCAGCACTTTGGAAGGCGGGTAGATCATCTGAGGCCAAGAGTTCGAGATCAAAATAGCTAGAAAAGAATTTGAACGTTTGTAGCATAAAGAATGGGCAAGTATTTAAGGTGATGGAGAGCTCAAGTATGTCGATTTGGTTTTTACAAATTATATGCATGTATTCAATTATCACATGTACCCCAAAACTATGTACATCTATTATAAATCAATTAAAAATAGTGCTTTGTAGTGGTCATTTTTAAGGGAATACATCTCTAGTATATCTTGGAAGGGTAGTTAAAAAATCTATTAGATACAATACAATTATAAAGAATTAGCTCACCAGGTGGGGCATAGTGGCTCATGCCTGTAATCTTAGCATTTTGGCAGCCCAAGGTGGGCAGATAACTTGAGCTCAGAAGTTCGAGACCAACCTGGGCAACATGACGAAACCCCGTCACCACAAAAAAATACAAAAAAATTAGCCAAGCGTGATGGCGCATGCTTCTAGTCCCAGCTACTCAGGAGGCTGTTGCAGGAGAATCACTTGAGCCTGGAAGGCAGAGGTTGCAATTAGCTGAGATCACGCCATTGCACTCCAGCCTGGGAGACAGAGTGAGACCCTGTCTCAGAACAAAACAAAGCAAGCAAAAACAACCAAATCAAATTAGTTCACCAGAACAACTTCTGAAAGTAAAGGCTAGAGGGAATCATATGAATTATCAAGCATTTCTTGAGCTCAAACTACATCCAGACAGTGGGCTAGGCATTTATATATATTAGCTAAATTAATTTGCATAACAACCTTGTGACATAGTTTTACGGCTTTCACCATTCCTAAAATTAGTCTCTCAAGCATCAGGTTTGTGTCAAATTGCCAAATCCAAGGTTTCACAACTTTTTGTTTTTTTCAACTCTCTCCATCATTTGAGTATACGTATTCATTCAATCATCCATATGTCCGTTCTACTAAGTGACAAGACCTGGTTTAGGTATAGGAGATATAGCAATAAACAAGTCAGAAACATTTCTTGTGCTCGTGGACCTTATTTCTCGTCTAGTGGGTTGGACATTGAATAAGTGTCAGCCATAGGATGGGGTCATGAATAGGGAGGTGGAGAAGCCCTCAGAGAAGGTGTCTCTTGGATTCTGGGAATCGAAACTCTCCAAATTTTAGTTCCTATTTCTCTGACCACTCCTTTGCTGATTCCTTTTCCTCCATGTGCCCTTTAAATCCTGGCATTCACCATGGGCTTGTCCTCTGTCTTCTTTCCTCTCCACCTGTTGGTGATCTCAGCCAGCTCTGCTTCAGCCATGCGTGGCTCAGCTCATGCTTTGAATCTTGTCTTCTTCCTTTCTGGTTTAATATTTTAATATGCTTTTCCTGGGAGCTTTCCCAAGCTTCATGGCTTCAACACCTGCTGAGGATCCCGAAACTTACTCCCTAGTCTACATTTCCAGTTCCCTATAGGATGCTGTCATCAACCTATGCAGAATCACACCTTGGCCATTCAAACCTCCTTGCTGATATTTTTAGTTCTGCATCATTTACCCTAGCCCTTTCAGCCTGCTAAAATCCTGTTCAGCTTCAGGACGCAGCGCGCAGGCCGGTTCCTCCAAAGTCTGCCCACCCTCTTCAGGTGGAGCCCGTCCCTTCCTCTTCTGAACCCCTCTGTGTATTTCCCCCTGGCTACTTCCATACTTAATTGCCTTAAAGATGAATTCGCTTTTCTGTGTCTGTCTCCTTGTGTGCTCCCTGAGACTGCATGCTCCCTGAGGGCAGGGATGAAGCTTGTTCATCTTGAAATGTTTGATGTTTTGCACAACAGTAAATGCCCCAGTTGATGGTTTATTGCATTGTTGAACAAAATTTGGATCTAGGAACTGTTATCAACTACCCAGTCAAAAGTAGAACGTTTTGTTCCAACTATAACACTTCTTTTAGAGTTCCTTTTAGGGTTAGTCAACTGCTCTTGTGTCGGTCATGAGATTGCAGGCAAATTTTATGGGCAACCCACTCCCCACCCCTCCCCCACATTTTATTTGTCTTTTATCCACCAACAGCCCCAGTGCCAATCACATAATGGAAGTGTTTGTAGTCCAGACTCATTCCCATTACCTTGGCTTCTCCTTGGTAAGAGGTCATTCATTCATCCGTTCATGTACTTATCTAACAAGTACTAACTGAATTCCTCTTTGTGTCAGGAATTGTTCAAGGGAAAGTCCCTGCCCTCAAGGAATTTAAATTCTAGTAATGGACACGGACAATAAACAATCAAGTAAATAAGAAAGAAAATACTAGATTGATACAAGCTATGAAAGGCATCAACAGGGTGGTAAGACAGAATGAGAATGGGAAGGTGCCACTTTAGCTAACATTGTTCAGGGTCAGCCTCCCTGAAGGAGTTTGGACTGAGACCTGAGTGGAGAAGGAACTGGCTCTAGGCCAGGCGTGGTGGCTCATGCTTCTAATCCTAGCACTCGGAGAGGCCGACGTGATAGGATCGCTTGAGCCCAGGAGGTTAAGACTGAAGTGAGCTGCGACCGTACCACCACATTCCAGCCTGGGTGACAGAGTGAGCCCCCGGAAATGGGTTCTAGAAGGTCCCGAAGAGATTCCAGGGAAAAAAAACAGGCACATTGGAGATATCAAAGGAGCATAATGTGCATTTGCATGGAACGAGCAAGTGGGGCGAGCTGACACCAGGGAGGTAAGCAGAACCAGCCGTGGAGGCTTAGAGGCATGTAAGGACTTTTAATTTTATTAAAAGCAAAATGGGAGCCATTAAAAGATTTTGTGCAGAGGAGAGACATGATCTGATTTATTTTGTAAAAATAGCTCTTTAAAAAGAATGTAGAATGGGGCTGGGCTTGTGGCTCATGGCTATAATCTCAGCACTTTGGGAGGCTGAGGCGGGTGTATCAGGAGGTCAGGAGTTCAAGACCAGCCTGGCCAATGTGGTGAAACCCCATCTCTACTAAAAATAGAAAAATTAGCGGAGGATGTTGGTGGGTGCCTGTAATCCCAGCTACTAAGGAGGCTGAGGCAGGAGAATCACTTGAACCCGGGAGGTGGAGGTTGCAGTGAGCCAAGATCATGCCACTGCACTCCAGCCTGGGTGACAGGGTAAGACACCGTCTCAAAAAAAAAAAAAAAAAATGTAGAGTGGACAGAGTGGGAGCAGAAAGACCAGTTAAAAGATTGTACAGTAGCCTAAGCAAGTGTGCTCTGCTACCATTCTGAACCATCAGTCTGGCCAGGAAAGTTCTCAGTGATGCCACCGCATCCCTGGTGCCCATGAGAAATCCAGATGCCAAGAGCAAGGGACACCAGGGTTGGCTAAGGACCCTTGGTCCTCTTGTCTCTATCTGCATAATCTCTCATGTTCTGATTCAGCCCTACAGGAGGGACAGCCCTGGTTCTTTTTTTTTTTGAGGCAGAGTCTTGCTCTGTTGACCAGGCTAGAGGGCAGTGGCGTGATCTCTGCTCACTGCAACCTCCGCCTCCTGGGTTCAAGTGATTCTCCTCCCTCAGCCTTCTGAGTAGTTGGGATTACAAGTGCCTACCACCACACCCAGCTAATTTTTGTATTTTGGTAGAGATGGGGTTTCACCATGTTGGCCAGGCTGGTCTCTAACTCCTGACCTCAAGTGATTGGCCCACCTTGGCCTCCCAAAGTGCTAGGATTACAGGCGTGAGCCACCGCGCTCGGACTGGGACAGCCCTGCTTCTGAGCCAGCCCTCCAGAGGGTTGGAGAGATTGGCAGGATATGGGAATGCCTGAGAGCCAGGAGGTCTGTAGGATCTGGTAGGTGTGGGCAGCAGCGGCAGCAGTCTATGCTCTCAGCAGCTTCCTGAGCTGCAGTGCCCACTCCCTGGCTCTAGGCCCGTTGCCTCTGTCTTTACTTATTCTCAGAAGATCACTGATTGCTAAAGCACACTGTTTGTTTTAGTTTGTTGTTTCTTTCCCCTGGAAAATAGAGGAGCATTTTAAAGCGATTAAACTGAGTTGAGTGAACTAGAAGCTTAAGAAGAGCTAAAGCGGGGTGCAGTGGCTCACGCCTGTAATCCCAGCACTTTGGGAGACCCAGGTGGGTGGATCACCTGAGGTTGGGAGTTCAAGACCAGCCTGACCAACGTGGAGAAATTCTGTCTCTACTAAAAATACAAAATTAGCTGGGCATGGTGGTGCATGCCATGCCTGTAATCCCAGCTATTTGGGAGGCTGAGGCAGGAGAATCGCTTGAACCTGGGAGGCGGAGGTTGCAGTGAGCCAAGATTGTGCCACTGCACTCCAGCCTAGGCAACAAGAGTGAAACTCCCTCTCAAAAAAAAAAAAAAAAAAAGAGCTAAAAAGGCACTTGGCATTGGCCCCTTGTCTCCTGCAAGCCCTCACCGGTCCTTCCTGGCCCTCCAGCTCAGCAAACCTCCTCCTTTCTCCCCAGTGGGGCAGCCTACTTCCTCCTGGGCCCTTGCTGTGTGCTCCCCTGCCTATCTAGCCCTCCAGCATGTCTCTGCTCTAATGTCACTTCTGTCTAGAGGCTGTCCCTGAGGGCAGCCTGCCAGTCTATGTTATGTGCCCTGATTAAATGCATTCAAAGCACAAGGGACTTTTTCTTCAGAGGGCTCATGGTAATTATAAGCACATACTTACCAGCAGGGTGTGGACATATACACAGTAGAGCTCAGGGTTTTTTTAAAAAAGGTCATTTACATTTTTTATTTTTATAACTGGTCTCATCTGCTCCCACTCCTGCTGTTAGTGGAGGGGAAAAGAAACTTACACTTACCAGTGAAAGGTAACAGCCTCTTCCGGCTTAAAACAATCTGTTTCCCCCAAATAAACAGTTAATTGAAAGTTGAACCGATCAGGATTGCTTCCCTTTCTCTAAAGCATGCTTTCCTTGCCTGTTCTCTTTAATACTGGGTCGGGTTACAGGGAGGGGTGGGTCAGAGGCCTTCAGGGTGTTGGGTGGGGTCCAGGGGGGCTACCATGGGCTGAGACCCCCTCACGGGGGCCACCATTGCATTAACACCTGGGCTGTGGGAGCCCAGCTCCATCCTCCAACCCTTGGCCATGTCTGTGCTTGCTGTGACCAGCTCACATCCCCTGCCCACCAGCTCACAAGCCTGCATTCTCATCTGTCTTGGGAGTATGTCTTGGAGAACTTCAATGTCCCATACAGGCCACATACATGTCAACAGGAAATGGGGAGCAATCAAAGGCCACTTTCCCTGAAAACATGCCTACCACCACCATTTTGCCTCTGCTGTGGCTCACCTCACAGCTCATGGATGAAATGCTTGACAACTTCCTCTGAGTTCCAAGCAGAAAGCAAAGCTCTGCCCTTCTCAGAGCCAGCTTCCTCTCCACCCCCTGGGCCATTCAACATCCCTGCTCTGATGTTTGCTCAGGGTGAAGGGGCTTGAAAGCAAAGATGCTCTTCTTCCTCTCACTCTGTCTTCCTCCCCTGGCCCCTTCCCTTCCTGGCTGGTGGGACTGACTCTGTGGCATGGTCTCTGTTGACTCACACTATGGTCTAGGTAGCGTGAAGCTGTGCGGTAAAAGCAAACCACTGCCCTTCCTGACACCCATCACTTTTTCTTCATCCACTCCCCCACCAAACCTGCCTTTTAAGATTATTGTTTCATGGATTTATCAGTTATAGAGATGGGCTCTTGCTTTGTTGCCCAGGTTGGTCTCGAACTCCTGGACTCAAGCTATCCTCCTGCCTTGGCCTCCCAAAACTCTGGGATTACTGTAGGTATGAGCCACCATAGCCAGCCTATCTTATGGATTTAAAAATGGGTATGAACCTCAAAGCTGAGCAATGACCTCTTTCTTCTGCTTGGCATCTACTCACTCTGTATCCACCCATAGGTAGGGACTACATGCTTGTTAGGAAATAAAAACCATCTTTGCTTAATGTTTAAAAAAATAACTTCCTGTGAAGTAATTTGTCTGATTCTTTGCATAAGGTCTAGCTGTACATCTCTTTTGCTCAGCACCATATACTTTGTGACTAACCCAGCTAGTCCTGAGTATCTGGGACTGGAGGCACACGCCACCACACCTGGCTAATTATTTTATTTTTTGTAGAGACAGGGTCTCTGTTGCCCAGGCTGGTCTCAAACTCCTGGCCTCAAGCAATTCTCCCAAAGTGCTAGGATCACAGGCATAAACCACTGCTCCCAGCCTATTTCATTTTCAGCATGGATAAAAGTTCATTATTTGAGAGATTTTATTTTGGAGCAGAAATAATATTTGGATAATGGTTAAAAAAGTGAATGTTACTATTTTGGATCAAAAATAAGAAATGTGGCTGGGCATGGTGGCTCACACTTGTAATCCTAGCACTTTGAGAGGCCAAGGTGGGCAGGTCACTGGAGATCAGGAGTTTGAGATCAGCCTGGCCAACATGGGGCAACCCCGTCTCTATTAAAATACAAAAATCAGCTGGGTGTGGTGTCAGGTGCCTGTAATCCCAGCTACTGGGGAGGCTGAAGCTGGAGAATTGCTTGAACCCAGGAGGTACAGGTTGCAGTGAGCAGAGATGGCACCACTGCTCTCCAGCCTAGGCAACAAAGTGAGACTCCATTTCAAAAAGCAAACAAACAAACAAAAGATATGAGTATAAAACAATATAAATGTCTTTTTCTAAGTGGCTCATAAATTGGCTTTGAGGATTAGCCCACACAGGATTTGGGACAAAGAATTCTAAAATCTTTTTTGTAGGAGCGTCATGGGAGAAGGAACAGGTCTTCCAAGGAAACAGTTAGACAGTGATGGCCGTCATCTGAATGCAAAGTTTCCAGTAAACGAGTTTTAAAGACAATAATGTTGTTTTATAGTAATATTTTATACAATATTGGACTTTTACAGGAAACTATATGTAATTGTAGTGAATTTCACTGAATAACTTAATTATTTGATTGTTTTGTACTCATGTAGAAGTTTTAGGTCTTACATGATTGGGGTTGTTGGCATCAAAGATTTTCTTCCCAATTGGTACAGGTATTGATCAACTTACGACCTATGCAACTTATGACAATTCGACTTTACGACCGCAATCACTAGCCAGGACTGCTCCGCATCTGGCAGCGCAAACATTGCCCAGTTGGGCGTACGACAGTGCGGACCAGCTTCCAGCAGCACTACCATCTCCGCGTGCACCATTTCAACTGTACATATAGCCTACTCAACTTAGGACCAAATCGTGTTACGACTGGTCTGCCGGTCCCAATCGTGGTCGTAAATTGAGCACTAGCTGTATAAGATTTCTCCAATAGTTACCTTGAATTCGCCCGTTGTTGCTTTCTCCTCTCACTGCCCTCCTTTAACCTGACACTTACCGACAATTCACAAGAGAAGTGAGCCCTTTGCCTGCTTCTAGACTTCCTGTACATGTTTTATCAGAGCAACAATGATAACTGTTCACCCTCACCTTAAAATAAGTTCAGATGGGCTCAGGCCTAGGTTAATAAGCTTCTAACTTTGACTCTAAATGAAACCTGTCTTTAAGAAGAGGGTAGCTGAGGAATCACACGTGTCCACAGGGGCCAGGCAAGTCACCTAAATGAGCGGAGAGAGCTGGCTGTAAGAAAAGCAACAGGTGGCCAGGCACAGTGGCTTAGGTCTGTAATCCTAGCACTTTGGGAGGCTGAGGTGAGCAGGTTGCCTGAGCTCAGGAGTTTGAGACCAGCCTGGGCAACACAGTGAAACCCCGTCTCTACTAAAATACAAAAGAAATTAGCTGGGTATAGAGGCTTACACCTGTAGTCTCAGCTACTCAGGAGGCTGGGGCAGGAGAATTGCTTGAACTTGGGAGGCAGAGGTTGCAGTGAGCCAAGACTGTACTATTGCACTCCAGCCTGGGTGACAGAGCAAGACTCTGTCTCTACAAAATAAATAAATAAATAAATAAATAAATAAATAAATAAATAAAAGTAAAGCAACAGTTGAGAAGCCCTAGCATCCAGGTGGAAGCTTGGATCTGAGTGGTCCGCTGGGCTGTTTTAGAGACCCCTGCTTAGAGGCCTGCTGGTCTCTGCATGTGGCAGGCCTAATTCCACAGGTGGAGGCCATGCCCCTACTGGGTCCTGTGAGAAATGGAGCTTGGAGAGCCAGGGGCATCCCTGACCTGGTTCATCATCCTTAGCAGTACTCCCTGGCTCGCCCAAGCTCCATCTGCTACTCAGCCTTGGATTAGAAGGGCCCTGGCTGCCTCCCTTTCATGGGAGTTGAGAACCTCCTGAAGTCTATGCTGGACTTTGGGCTCAGGTCAGCTTGAGACTCAGACTTATTTCTTTGGGAATGAAGCAGAACCTAAAATGCTGGCTTCCAGAGATCAGGGGCTTGTCTATCACCGTAATCAGGACCGAGCCAGCTGGCAAGCTGTGGTGGTGACTAAAATGTCAAAATGCACCAAGTGACTCCAGAGTTAACACCTGACACAGGGCCCAGCAACCTCTCCAAAGTCCTCCTGAAACCCTGAAAAATAACACTGATGGGTTAGGGCCAAAGCCTTGCTGTCACATGTGTTGAATGAAAACCACTCCTGATTGTCCTTCAAATGTAATCCAGTGCCTGACACCTTCTAGAAATGAGTGAATACATGAATGAATGAATGTGAGGCTGGAGGCAACAGCTGTTCAATACGTGTGTGTTGCGTGAGTGAGTTCTCCAGCTCCTGTTTTCTGAAAATGCAGGCATTCCTTACATACAGTGGACCATTCAGAACCCTTCTTAAATAGTATTTAAACTGGTTTGAGAACTCAAGGTCGCCGTCTTACTTGTACCTGGGCTTTTATATAACGTGCTTTAATCACCTGTCTGGCAGCTGTCAGAAAGCTTTCTGTTGTAACACATCCAGAGAAAAAGTCCTATTTTGCTTTACATACTTGAGTGAAAAATTGGTCCCTGGCTGAACATAATGGAAGTCATTTGTTCTGGAAAAAGCAATTCAGAAAAAGATATCCCCTGAAAAGCTAGCACGGTCCACTCAGAACTCCCTTTCCTGACGGGCTGTGGAAGATCCTTAGACTTAAGAGCTATTTTGAGGGGGGCAGGGGTGCTTTAATTTCTCATAACGGCAAGTGTCTAGGAAATCTATTAACTATAACTGTTTACACCTGAAATGTGTGATTGGTCCCATCTGAGAAGTAACGGATGCTCCTTTTGGTGCCTGGCAGTCCCCATTAGAGCGAGTGTGGAAGTGGCTTCTGTGTTCCCTAGCCAGAACGTGAGGGCTTTTAGTCAGGAGGAAGAGTGGAGAGAACTTCTTACATTTCAGAGTTTGCTCTTGAGAAAGCGGTTTCCCTCAAGCCCCTCTCCCTGCAAACAGGGAATCTGATAACACTTTTCTATAATTTTTTTTTTTTGATCATCCATCTCTATAGCCTAAGGCAAAAAGGAACCACTTGGTTTAGAACACAAGGCGGAGGCCTAAGGCGGGGAGAGTCCCCAAAGCTGCTCCCTGGTTTCATCTAGGCCCTCTTCTTTCGGATTTAGTGATGGAATTCTCCCTGTTAGAGCCGTGGTTTTCATAACGCTAAAACCAGAGCTTGTGTGGCCTCAGGGTGGGCAGCAGAGATTCCTGTGGCAGCTTCTTCTGAGCCCTGGTGGGTGGGAGGATAGACAGCAAGAGGGGTGGAGGGGAAAACTCAGCCCTCACTAGTGACCTGGGGGAGATGAGGATACAATTCTCTCATCCCTTATGGGTGAGTTTCTCAAAGCTCATCTGGCTGAAACTGGGGAGCTGAACCAAACCCCTGCCTTGTGGGAAGCAGTGATTTAGCCACTTTCAGCTTGTGTTCAAACCCTCCTAAAAGGGAGCCGCCCTGTCCCACACGGGACTTCAGGGAAGCTCGTGTCCTCCCCAGAAGTGACAAATGGAAAAGACAGAACAGTCTCCGGCCAGGCCAGGATACAGTCTCTGGAAAGAGGTTGTTTTTGTCTCCATTGCCATAGAAAACACATCCTTTTAACTTAATAAGTAGGGAAACAGCATAATCACACGCACTAGAGGTTACCAAGGTGAACAGAATCCAAGATTAAAATCTGCCAGCCCAGGGGTGCAGGGAGCATGGAAGGCCCGGAGAGGAAATCTAGTTTGCTGTTGGTAAATTTTTTTGGATGCTGTTTATGTTTGAACTTTTCTCTGTTTTCCTGTAGAAACTTCCGTACCCTCTTCCTGTGTCCCTACAAAGGCCTGGACAATGCAGTCCCAGCCCTGCTGCAGAACACGGCCAGGCCCCACCTTCCTCCTTCCTGCAGGGATATCCTCTCCTATAGAAGAGGTAAGAATGTACGGTTCATGTGAAAATGTGATTATATTCCTTATCTCAGTCATTTCGTGATTTGCTGTTTTGCGACAAAAATTCAGCCTGGCCACATTCACAATAGAGGTGGCCCCGGTTCCTAGTTTTGGCTTGTGCTGTTTTCTCAGCTGAAGAGGGCAACCGGCTGTTAAAAAAGCTGCCTGTTTTCCAGGATCTTATCAGGAGTTCATGTCTAAGGCCAGAAAGAGAAGGGAGGGCTCCATTTTTTTCCTCTCTCCTCATTGTTTCCAACTGAATTGGCAGGAAATGGGAGTCCTCCACCTGTCCCTCTTGGGAGCAAAATTGATTTGATTCCATTTTTCAGATGTATCCGCTACCACCAGAAGTTGGGGACATTTCCGCTCACCCCAAAACGAATTCGTTCCTGCATTGACACAAATGACATCTTTCAGAACTGCAAACAAATCACGTTTCAATGGAGATCTTTGGAACGGGGGATCGGTGTCAGTTGCCCCACAGAGTCTCAGGTTTGCTTTCTCTTCTCATTCACCCTTCTGCGAAGTGCCTTTTGGGGCTGTGGGGCTTGAGTGACTCCCACAAGTTTGTGTGCATGGGGGTGTGTGTTTGTGTGTAGTGTGTGTAGTTTGTGTGTACCATCGACGGCGTGGACACTCAGAGAACTGAAGTCCTTCGTGCAGAGTCTCACATACATCCAAACAATTCCCCTTCACAGCTGCCTTAAAGCACATGTCTCAGGCAGGGTAATATAGATCCAGACAGGAGCTCAGTCTATTTCTCAAGACTCACAGTATGTTTGTGGTTGACCTAGTATTTTCCACTCAACCCAGTTCAGCCAATTCAGCCAATTTTAACAAAAATCAGGGTCTGTCTAGATGCTTTCATTTCATCTAAAAGCAACCCCAGATGATTCTATTTTGAGGGGATCAGTCATTTTACTATCTAGAGAAAAAGCTTAAACATAGGAATTATATAAACCACAGTATTCCATAAACAGAAGGACCTTCCTACTCAATGTCAACACCTCATCTTGGAGCTTAGACTCACAAACTGGGCAGTTACTAGACGGAGTCCTGAAACAATCCATTTCTAACTCTACCCTCAGAAATAGCATTTTGATTCCACCCTAGTGGGGTCCTGGTTTTCCCAGGTCATATTTTTCTCAATCCAGCATCCTGACTAAGATAAAAGAGGGCATGCTCCTGCCCTGTCTTGTTTAGGAACTCCAGCTCCTCACACCCACTGCAACCATGGTGGCTGCCTGTGGCTCTTCTGCTGTGTGAGGATATTTGCAGACAGGGCAAAAAGTCCCAGACTCCTTCCTCCCTGTGGTTCCTAGGGGACCCATGAGGTATCTGTGCCCCCAGACCTCCCCGCTTCTTGCCTCCTGGGCTGCATTTGATGGGAACCACTTGTCTCTGCCGCACTCATGCTCATCCTTTGGGTACCCAACTGACGTTCTAAATACAGAAGTCAGTAGATGGGCCAAAATCCACGTAAATAGAGTGTTTCCATGTAAGTGAGACAACCAACTTAAAATCAGCCTCTCAGAAATTAGATCTGTGGGAGAAAACTATTTTAATATCCTTGTATTGCATGAACCAACGCTTTCCTTTAACCCAATGTTTCCTCTCTCTCCTTGGTGCTTGCCCAGGTCCCTACTCCCTTTGAAGCAGTTGGGCTCTTCTGCACCGACTGCCTCAGAGAAAGGATGTCACAATGGAAAACAGAACTGGGAAAAGACTTCCTGACTTTTGAGTTTCAAAAGCTTAGTTCATTAGAGAAATGGAAAAGACTCAGAAAAGATTAAACACTGGGCAGAAATATTATGAGTGAGAACAAAACTGCTTACCAGCCCTCCCACCTGAGTTTCAAGGATTGCGGCTATCCAATGGGGAGGGGAACAGATGGGGACTGGGGTGAGAGGGTAAGATCTGGAGAAAATCCAGGGGCATGAGCAGACCCAGCACGCATGGACAACCCAGTGTCTACTCACAGGAGCCTGTGCATCACCTGCACCTCGGGGCTGGTTGTCTTGACTTTTGGCATCCAGTGAGGACTTCCTAGCATGGCTGTTGGCATTTTCTCACTGACCATTTAGCAGGAATAACAACTGTCTTTGCCCCCCAAATCTGGCTATGTTTCAGTTGAGAAGACTTACTCCATGCGGTCAACCCAATATGCAATATCTCATGGTGCTTACAAGCCCCCAAGAAGGAGGATGGGGTCCTTGGGAGCCTGGGAAGGTAGTGCCATGGAAGGAAAAGTTTCTGAATCTGCATCTGAGGGCAAATGAAACCAGCTCAAGATTTTCCTGAAACAATAACAATGGTTAAGCCCTGCTCTCACACCAAATCCTCCTTATTATATGATCCTCTGGCCTTCTAAAGAGTGTTACATTGCTCTTCCATGTTGAAAAACTTTGAACTATTTCCCATAGAGCTAGTCCAATGGTCCATTTTGGGTGATTCTACTCTGTGTTGCATTTCTGTTCTCTGACCTAACCTTGACCTTGACCTTGATCTTGGGTACTTGCTTGGTTTTCTAGGTTCTCACAGCCCTCCACATAAACGATGCCTTTCCAGCTCCCAGGCCAGGCATGTAGCAGCCTTTTTCTCCCCTTCTTTGCTGGGGTGTCAGTCTCAATATCTCAGCCACCCTATTTATCAAGGGCACACCATAAGCACCAGAAGGAGGAGAGGTGTTTTTTTCTGGCCTGGGATGGGTCAAAGTATTATATTAATGGGACTAGGTTGGGCCCGTGACTGGCTGGGATCCATTCTCATCAACATGGAATCCCTTCCTTACTTTCTTTCCTCCTGTGACTGGTATGGTTAGACCATCCTGGGGACAAACTCACCCTTCTCTTCACTAGAGAAAGGGTGGTGGGGGAAAAATCACTTCTGCAGTCTAGAGGTAAGACTCAGAGGCCCACAGGAACAGGCTTGGAGGACAAGTGCCCATAGCTGAGACTTTAAAGCAGAGAAGAAAGAGGGCAAGGAAACCAGATCAGTCTCCATTGCTAACATCCTCTGGGTATGTCAACACTGAGAAGATGAAAATGGAGCATGAAGTGGAAATATCACTTCCGGCTTATGTTACGTACTTTGGCACAGTGTTAATTTCCATCCTTGCACCTTCACAGAGAACTAATTAACATTATACAGTCTCCTACAGGCCCCAGATGAAAGTTATTATAAAAGTGCAGAAACGATCATCATCACAGACCCTAACTTGGTAAGAAATTCCTTTCAGCCTGAAGTGAGTAATCATTATCTTCGAAGGTCTAGGAGTGTTGTCAGTGTGTGTTTCAAAGGTTACCACTACCTGGGGGGAAGAAATGCACCATGAAGGGAGATTTTTCGTGTTGAAATTATAAAAGTATTTAGAGTTGGAAAAAAAAAAAAGACACAAACGTCAAGATATTATGAGTGACAATGAAATCAGACTAGTTAGCAGGAACAAAGCAGGCCCTCAACCAGATGACAGCAGGACTGATTTTTATGTAAGTTTTTCAGGTCAGGTCTATTAGAGGAACAGCTGGGCCCATGAGGTTTCATTGTGGTGCTATTTCTCTATGTTGAATACTGGCCAAAATTAATGGGGCATGGGTTAGGGCTGGAATTTTTTTTTTTTTTTTTTTTTTGGGAGACGGAGTCTTGCTCTGTTGCCAGGCTGGAGTGCAGTGGCGTGATCTTGGCTCACTGCAATCTTCCAGAGATTCTTCTGCCTCAGCCTCCTGAGTAGCTGGGACTACAGGTGTGTGCCACCATGCCCAGCTAATTTTTGTATTTTTAGTAGAGACAGGGTTTCACCACATTGGCCAGATGGTCTCGATCTCTTGACCTCGTAATCTGCCCGCCTCAGCCTCCCAAAGTGCTGGGATTACAGGCATGAGCCACTGCGCCTGGCCAAAATTTTTTATTAAAATACAGAGGCTTTTGTGGTAAATTATGGTAGCTAGGGGTTTAAGGTTGAGGGGAGGGGAGGAGAAGGTCCTGGAACATTTCTTCTACCAATTGCCCTGGCAGTTATCTTTGGAATCTCAATGCTTGGCTTCTAATCCCAGGTGAACTTGGAGCAAGTGATTTAACCTTTTTGTGCTTTACTGTCCTCATTGTCAAATGAAAATAGTGAAAACGCCTACCTTATAGGGCTGGTGTGAGGATAGGCGAGTTCATATATGGAAAACACTGTCATGTAGAAAGTGCCGCTAAAGTGTTTACCATCAGTATTATTATGGTCACCTGGGTTATTGTATTATGCCCTGGGAAACTTCTTGACTAGGAAATCTGTTAGAGCCTGAATGCACTTTACATGAGTCCCAAAGAAGGTCTAAGGACACAAGGAAAAGAAAATTGAGAAGAAGTAGGAGAGTAAAGCTTCTCTGAAGATTTTCTTGGACAGGTTTTCACTGTTTTCGAAAGCTTTTTCACACTATTCTGCCACATTCTACCCTACCCGTAACGCTTATCAAAATGACCTGACCCACTGAACCAGGCTGTTTCCGAGCATATCCAAGCCCTGCCTTTGGCCCGACATTTGGAAGCAACCCTGGCTACATCATTTGGCCCTTGTCTCTCTTAGTCGCTGTGGGGTTTTCTCAGCATATTTTAGATGATGGAAAGGAGATGGGAGTGGTGCTGTTTCCCAGTGATTTTCAGCTCCCATTCTTTTGGCACATGATGGGGCCACACTTCTCACCCCCTTTGGGGGGTTGGTTGGGGTTAAGTGGCTAGTTCTGGCCAATGGGTTGTGAAAGCCAGCGAAGTGTGTCAGTTGCAGGCTCAAGCATTTCATGGCCGACGCAGTTGGAGATGGCAACTGTTCCACCAGCTGCACTCCTCGGTGGCTTTCATAATTGGATGGCATCTGTGGTATGACTCTTTATGTTACTAAATATATTTTATATTCATAAAACTTCTGGAAGGATATTCACTAAACCCATAGCAGTCGCTCTGTCTATGGGGGTAAGATTGCCGGGGTGCAGTGAGGAATGCTTCCACTTTTTAGTGTCTTGCTGAACTTCTCATAAGAAGCATTTACTGGCCAGGTATGGTGGCTCACTCCTGTAATCCCAGCACTTTGGGAGGCTGAGGCGGGTGGATCGCCTGAGGTCAGGAGTTCGAAACCAGCCTGGCCAACGTGGCAAAACCCTGTCTCTACTAAAAATACAAAAATTAGCCAGACGTGTTGGTGTGTGCCTGTAATCCCAGCTACTCGGGAGGCTAAGGCAGGAGAATCACTTGAACCTGGGGGCCAGAGGTTGCAGTGAGCTGAGATCGAGCCATTGCACTCCAATCTGTCCAAAAACAGTGAAACTCCATCTCAAAAAAAAAAAGAAAGAAAAAATAAAGCAGCAGCATTCATTCATTATCTCTGTGATAATAGTAGTAATGGCTATTGTTCATTACGCATTTACGAAATGCCAAGGATACCACTAAGTTCATGTGATAATCTTCACAACGTAACATCAGGAAGAAAGTGTTTTTTAAAATTTGTCCCAAGTCATAGAGCTATGAAATGTCAGACTTGGGATTTGAACCCAGGTAGTTTAGCTACATGATGCATGCTCTTAGTCACTGCACTACAATCAAAATAAATAATAATGGTTTCTTAAAGCCTGTTCTTCCTTCAACGTACAGTTCAATGGTCACTTTTGTGATGCCATTTCTGATCACACCATGCATTCAAGAAACACTCACTAAATACCTATTATGGGCAAAAGGCCTGCTTACAAAAAGTATGCAAGTCAAATAAATTACCATCTTTGTCATGCAAGAGCTTACAGTCTAGCAGGGGACAATAAAGCCACCTCCAAAACTAGAACGAGAAGTGCTATACACAGCAACAAAGCCCTGTGTGGGTTCAGAGAAAAGAAAAGGCACTTCCAACTTCAGGAAGCAGAATTGAGCCTTGAAGGCAAAAAGAGGATCAGGAAAAGAAGATCATTCCGTTGCCTGCAGTGAAGGGGAGGAGCAGACAGCTGCTGAGGTGGAGTCGGGAGGGCTTGACAACAGACTCCATGAAAAAATGTTGCTTAGACCAGTCTTAGGACCAGAAGAGCAACTTAATGATAAGAGCCAATGTTGATAAAGGGCCAGACAGGGTGCTAAGTATACGTTTATATTTAGCTTAATTAGCTAGGTATAAAATATAGCTTGTATGTGTATATAAAATATATGTGTGTATAAAATATATAAGCTATACATATAAAATCTAGTTAATACAGACTAATACATTTCATCCTCCCTGCAACCCTCAGGGGAGGGAACTGGTACTTCCCTAATGTTACAGAGAGCGGAAAGAACTGCCTGATTGGGCCGCACAGTTGGGTCTCATACACAAGCAGCTGGCTCCAAAGTCTGCCCTTAGACCACTTAGCTACACTCTCTTTTATTGGAGGCATGGTCTCTAGTGCCACTGCATGGGGTGGCTTGGGAAAGAGAGAGCCCAGAGAGGCAGGAGAGCTGGTTAGGAGATTATTGAATACATCAGGCCACCATTCCCTCCCACAGCATTTTGTCCAAAGGGCTCCTGGCCCTTCATACTGTTGTTAGCTTTTCACATTGCATGCCCATCTCTTTCCTCAAGTAGATGGGTAGCAACCCAAAGCAGGAAGGAGCCCTAGAATATGTGTAATGACACATCACACATACACTCATACACCCCACATAAAGAAGTTTGGATTAATAGTTTCCAATAATTGATAGTTTCTGTTCTGATTCCAGGGGCAGATTGTTTTATATATTTTTGAGATGGAGTCTTGCTCTATTGTCCAAGCAGGAGTGCAGTGATGTGATCTCGGCTCACTGCAGCCTCCACCTCCCAGGTTCAAGCAATTCTCCTGCCTCAGCCTCCCAATAGCTGGGATTACAGGTGTGTGCCAACATGCCTGGCTAATTTTTGTATTTTTAGTAGAGACAGGGTTTCACCATGTTGGCCAGGCTGGTCTTGAACTCCTGACCTCAGGTGATCTGCCCTCCCAAAGTGCTAGGATTATAGGTGTGAGCCACCGCTCCCAGCCGAAGAGCAGATTTTGATAATAATTACAGTAACCAACTACAATGTATGGTGCCTTACAGTTCTACACTTTCCTACAGAGAGCCATTCTAATTTTGACTTTTAGGACAACCTCCTGGCGGGAAAGAGGAAGGATTACTTTTTACAGAAGAGAAAAGAGATTAGGTGAGGTGAAGGGACCTGCCCAAAGTCACACAGTGCCTGAACACTAGAATCTGGGCTGAAACCTAGGTCTCTAATTCCAGGTCCAGTGCTCTTTTCAAAGCCAAAGAAAAATTCAGATTCCCTCTGACAGTGGTCTCCTAAAAGCATACCCTAACCTTCATGCCAAACTTTGCTTCTGAGAACCTCAGGGTTTCAGAAATTT